CAGCTTCCATTACAAAACCTTTCTGCATTTCTGGGACCTTCGCTATCCACCGGTGCTTTTTGTCAATCATTAGACTCTTCAACATTCGGCGTTTGAGGCAACCAGTATTTTCGTTGATGGTATAGTTTTGTTTTCTAAGACCACTGAAAGCTGCTGGTAGAGGAAATCCAGTCTTCATCGGGGTGTGCAAACGACCCCGGACAGTAGGTTTCAAAAGCTGAGTATAACAACCTTCGCCTTTTTCCAATTGTCCTTTACATCATCAGTAGTAACAGTGTATCCGCTCGGCTGGGAAAGCTTTCTAGCCTAATCAGCTCGACGCTACTGGCCTACAGAGACACTATGCAAGTGGAGAACTGAATGGTGCTGCATCAGTCGGCATACTTTTGAAGGGGAGAAAACTATTGTGCATTTCAGCATTAGCACCGTAGTCAGAACGAAGTTGTGTAATCTTGTATTGAAGCACTCCACCGATAGTTGTTCACGTGGTTCGGAAGAGTCCGGGACTGCTTTTGAGTTGACGGCCTCCAGGTAACAAGGTGACAGCAGTGATATTGAAGTTTGTACGGACTTGAAACAAAGGATTTTCAGTATATAGCTGAAGTCGCCATGCAGCAGCTATGCGGTGAATCAGTCACCAAGACGGGATTCTTCTACACTTAATCGGCTGACCTGAGCATTCACTACACCTGCCGCAATCGCAGTATACCTCCTTCTTGCTGATCGAACCTGCCTTGACACATCTTGACAAAATAACTTTTTCAGCATCAGAGCGGCCGTCTGTCAGACGGTATGCATCTCTTTCAACCGAGCCAGTCAACAAAACGGCGCAAAGACGACTTTACTGGAATTCAATCCAGAAAGTCCCTGGAGCTACGTAAGACTCTCGCATCATAAGCACCATGAGCCACTGGATCACCAAGAGCCCGAAGAGTAAAATGCGAGAAATCTCGGTTCGAGATTGTGGCGAGATGGATCGCTGGTGAGAGCGCGAATTTACTAACCAGAAGGTCCGTGGTTCGAACCCGAACTCTACATGTCGACATTCCCTGCTTATGCTTGGGCAACCTGACAATACCCAAGCCCCCGTGCTTCCTTCGGGTAGCATGGCGGCTAGGCACCGAAAGGGTGTTACAGCTGGACGGTTATTTATATGCGTGCCTCGAAAGCACAGCATATCGATCGGAACGGAAAAAACCTAAACAACATACGCCTGGTGCCTAATTTCACAAACAGTAGGAGCGTTGAGAACTACAATGTGGAACAGAACCTTCAAACTTGATGAGGGTTTAATCTGGCTTGCTCTATTAAGTTGCAGCGTGAAAGGCAGTCTTGTTGACTAGGAGAAATCTTATCCTCTGTGATCACCGAACTATTACGAGCCTCTAATTTTGAAAACGGCACTATCGCTGACTGTCCCCTTTTGTCTCCGGCAGACAAACGCTGACTGAGGAATTTACCTGTATTATTGAGCAGTGTTGGCAAGAAACCATCGAGACTACGACCTTGGTAGCGATCGAGCAGCCGTAGAGGTGCCAGGTTCACTGTCCAGGAGTCTACTTCAGTTCCAATTGAATGGACCCAGATAGATACGAGATTTTTTGTTCAGTGTTCGGCCCAGAGCTCGAGGCGCCTTTATTCGAGATGGTCGCGCCACTTAGTCGTTTCCGGGAACCTGTCGCATGGATCAACTGGAATAATCTTCTGGCATGCCCGGCTTTATGGGTCTCTTCCATTTCCTTAGTATTGTGTCCACCAAGCTTCACATTAAACGCGCACCCTAAGTTCGACTTGGCACTTGAAAATTCGCCAAGGTGGATTACGTCCAGGGTCAGGAGCATTTCTCAGAAATTCAATCAGTGCCACTGTTCTATTTGACACCCAGTGCTTCAGCGGACCTAATGGAGCCATGAAACAGACAAAGCTCCCAGATCTGTGCAAAGACGTGGCGATCTCGTTCCAACATGAATTCAACTATTAGGGTGGAACACTTGAAAGATAGTCCGGAAGACCTTTCTGTTAAATTTGCCTAATTTCGGGATCTGCCAGCGTTTAGCTTGCTAAGCCACTTGTCCGCGCCTTACGAAGCCCTGGAAAGCGAAGAGAAAAAATACTCCGAGTGAGCGTGCGGTCAAAATCCAAGGTGACCAGCCAGTTACTGGTCAGGGCAACCTAATTATTTTTCGTCAGTGGCTGGTGCGCCGTCGCAAGGCAAAAATGTAGCTAGACGACTCTGGTTATTTTGCAATGCAGTGCAGCAAGGTTCAAGCAGTGGTCCACCGTTGCCAGTACATTCCGAATCCAACTGAGCTTGAATAGCCAATTTGGTCTTAGAAGCGCTAATTCTGCCCAGAATTGCATCTAGATCTCCGGTAACCACAAAGATATCTGGCTTTAGCCCGCGGTAACAGTACACTCAAGTTTATAATCGTCTTTGACGGTGTCAGAGCTACTGCCGGCTGGAGTGTAAGAAACATCATCAGAAACGGCAACATCAGTGAAGTTATTAATGCTTCACTGACGTTGGGGTGTAAAAAGACCCGATAAACAGACAGAGGTCAGCTTTCCTATTGAGATTCCCTCAAGGAAGTCACCATAGGAAACGCAGAGATGCGATAACTGACGTTTTTCCAATCGAGCAAGAATCCTTTATCCCCATGACCTCGGATGATGCCGACCCCTGCACATCCTGACGCAGCGGCCTCTGGAGGCTAATGGAGCGCGGTCCCAAGTGGAGAGAGTGATCGGGTAGTCACCTCAACCACTGTGCTTGTATCTTGAATTCTCGCTTCTGATACATGGCAACACACCAATGTCAAGCGAGTCTACTGTGAGAAAAAAAAAGTGACGTATTCCTGCTAACTTCAGAGTGTGAAGATTGAAAGCGGCCATATAGATCGGGCATCGAGACTCAAAGATTGATATCGAAACCCCTGGGTTTGTCGGTGCCGGCCAACCAGATGTTGTGGCCAAGACCGATGCAAGACGAACGGGGTCGTCAATCCTAACGGATGGAGCTACAAGAATGGAGTTGTTAATGGGATGGGGGAGAGAAGAAAAAAGTATGTGGAAGAGAAACAAAGCTGGTATCAACAATGACCTGTTTTCGCAAACCCGCCCTGACGTATGCAGCAAGTGAAGCATCATCATCGACAGCATAACACTGGTGTACAACACCGGTGGTTCACTGCTGTACAACCACGATTTACTTGAAAGCCCTAGTGTGAAGAAAAGAATAAAGGCGGACGGTGAAAATACTTATTGTGGCTTATCAATCATTACAAGGTATCTACACCTTCAGACACTCATTCAGCCAATCCGGATAGAAACTGGCAACAAGAACGCCACTGACATCGGGTGGCAGCCATATCTTGCAGCGTCTCCAGCCCGGCGCATTACGGATCACGCGGTCAACATCCTGGATGGTGATTAGCACAGACAGCACCCAGAAGTTTCGTAATCTTCTTCATACCTCTGTGCCAGGGTTGGCCACCTATATGCTTCCATCACTGAGTTGAGCATGGGCAACAGCACTCTTCGCAAACGAGGGTTAGGCATACGAGCAAGTGAGGCGGTCCGGCTGATAACACCATGTGGCACGACGGTATCATTACCTGTAGGAATCATGATTATATGTTGGCCGGGTCATTGTCATGGAACACATACCCAGAAATGAGGACGATTGGGGTCCTCAACCAAAGCCTTTGGATCAAAAGCCTGATTACAAGGCAGCGGTTCTTGGCGGGAAATGTCATTGAGTTCCTCTCTTTTAAGAGAACAAGTCACTGTACATGTTTCAAATCCCAGCCTGGAGTCTGTTTGCCGGACCTCTAACTATTGACCAACGCGGTAAAAGAGATTGCGAGTGTCGCAGGGACACGTCCTTTAGTATGCTTCAATGGTTCATAGAGACACACAACCGTCACATAAACGGTAAGTTCGTCTCTACGTAACGGATTTAGTGTAAGGATGACGGAGAATCCATCACATTCAAACTAATGTATGCAAAGCACTGAGCGCTATGGAAGTGCATGTGAACGACACCAAGAGAACCGCTTGTGCTCTCGACTGTAAGAGTTCATCCAGTCCTGATAATTTTCATCAGGGTATCTGAACAGCACCCGTACATGCGATCCGGGCGACGCTCTATGTTCTCTAATCCATCTCTTTCAAATGAAATGAGTGAGGTGTGCCTGAAGAATGTCTGAAGGATGGTGTGCTAATATGGTGGTGATCCACAGGGATAGTCATACGGCAGGTTATCTCAGTCACAAAGAATTGGCTTGCGCTTAAAAAAGCCACCGAGAAAAGAAAATAATCGCCTGGATAAACGGATCGTACCCCACCAGCCTAGTATGATTTCCGGATAAACTGAACACTCGCCTTGGGACTCCCGGTGGATATGCTAGACACTATGATAGTACATGCGACTTTCTTCTGGCCCGGTTGCTGTTATTTGGGATTGCAGGGGAGGCTGCCTATCGCGGTGTGCACATGGGGTTGGTGCTCAAGGAGCTGCCTCCGTTATCTATTAAAGGAAATTAGGGGAAAATAGTAAAATGAAAAGGGGAAGGAATTCGGCATGTTGGGATTTTTGCTAAGCTCAGAACGTCTGCGTTTTTACACGTCACGCTTCGATAGAAAATTGGATGCCCGATGGAGAACCTTGCCAAAACACTGACATCTGGTGCCGTCTCGTTTCCGGTGCTGCGTCAGCATCATTGTTGACAGCAAAACAAGATGAAATTATTGGCGACGCTGAGTGACGCAAGCAGTGAAGTTGTGAACTATATGTTTGGAACTAAATTCTAACACCTCTGCCTCGTTTCGAGCTTTAGATGCACTTAGTTAAGAAGGCAAAATGTCAGTAAGCGAAATCGGGATATGTAGTTCTCAGGGATGCTAAACTCAAGAAATTGCACACCCTGACGCCAATGAACAAACTAATCGCGTTTGAAAGCATAGAAATGCTCAAACAGACGCCAGAAGATTCAACTTACTTGTGTTGGAATTCGAAGTCACATTAGGATCCTGGAATGAAGACGCTTGCGACGAGTTAACATCGGAGGTTGTAGGGACGGGATATTCATTATACCGCGGGACAAGAACCGGTGGGAGTACTAAAGATCACTGTGTCAGCCCACAAAAATTAAATACCTGGGTAGTCAACTCGTGCGTAGTGGTATGGGTTGATACAAACCTCCGGCTCTTTAGAATTGAAAGGAACTTTACAGCTTTCTATTGAGCGTAATTCGTGGTGGCTCTGAAGGTCAGGCCAGCGCCATACTCGGCAGTAAATTACATGTGGGAAACCTTTCCGGTGGGAAACCTGTGGGAAAAATTCGGTACTAAAACTGAGATACATACTTGAATCCGCCCATCCAGGGACCTCGGAATTGTAACACACTCACTTGGTTCATTGGGGTGCGTCAGCGCATACTGAAGAGTTTCAAGAACCCCCTTTCGCTTTTTCAACTTCTTAACAAGGGTTTCGATTGCTTTATGCGCCCATCTCCCTTCTTCATCTCCTTGCTTCCATCCCAATGAACCAGCGAGTGCTGGGTATATGAATTCAATTGAGTTGTCACGGTGAAGATTTATATCGAGCATGCCTCAGCGCAATGTACTACAACCAGCCATTCGAGTTCTCAACAGCCCTGATGTCGAAAACAAACAAGTAGAGCAAGAGACTAAAAACAGAGAGAGGGACAGAGAGAAACTCCCACACAGAATTCAATTGTCCCACCTGATAAATCGAAAGCACCGATTGGCTGAAATTCGGGACCAATGGATTCCCTGAGTTTCAAGGTCTCCACGGATTTCCTACAGTTCTAGTGTGTAAGTTAAATTGCGTGATAGATTTCAGTCAACAGCTTTTGAGCGGAACGACATACGGGCTCAAGGCTTATAATGCGTTGGTGATTATATCGGATGAGCAGTGCAGTATGCATGCTATGGAAGGAGGCACTAGCGGTCTGTGACGTTCAGACACCAGACCGGATAATGGATAGTTTCCTATGTTGTGCACTCTGTATGGACCACCTGAGGGATGGCCTTGTTTATCAAATTGCTCCCACTGATGCTGAATAGCCTATGCATATATGGATCCTCGAATTAGCCCGCGCAATGAAGCATATCCACGGAAGCCCAAACGAGTATCTCTACAGTGATTGTAGATCGGGACTGTCGGACCGATGATAGTGCGTTCCCAGATGTTCACGCTATTACTCCTGGTTTACCAGTGAATATGAGAATAAGGGGGCCGCAGTTAGGACGAATGGAGGCATACAAAAGAAAATACTGGACAGTGTGTGATCAGCTGATAAGTCTGGAGGAGGTGCACAATTGACTTTTGAGCGAGAGGAAACTGAACCTCAGCCCCGTATCCAGAACAACAACAACTATGACATAAATAGGGCAAAAGACCAGTTTGACTTGATTAGGGTCCAAGATCACATTGCCACTCTACAGTGGTTACGTGTAGTATTTGAGAGGATCTTCTATAGCTGTCGACCCCATGCCACAAAAACTGCCTATATATTGAGCGTATAGTCCGTGGTTTAAGGTAGCAAGAAAGTTCACAAGTGGAAGAGTAGTAGAAGGAAAAGCATAAAGGCGCAAAAGCTGACGTACATTTCTAAAGGAGCTCAAGGTGAGTTCAGTCGAACTGCGGTACACAGGTCCTACAATGGGGGGTTTTGAGTATATCATGATGGACACGGAAAAAAATGATGCTCTGTGAGGAATACGTTTAACCGCGCGGTGTTTTAGTAAAAGTAATGATAAGTTTTTACGATAACGACGCGGTGGCTGTTACTTCCGGCTCCTTGCGCTAACCTAAATGACTGGGAACATTTTGGGATAGGGTGCAACTCTCATGGCATCTGGGTCACGCTACAAGTTATAAGGTTATGTACTACTGCATGCAGAAAATGTTCACCAAACATCACGGTGGTTGAACCTCGACCGTCGACTGCATCAGCGGAAATTAGGATCACCAAGCTGGTGCCGGACCGCCAACGGAGACGATTACATACGGATTCTACATTCGACAACCCATTAGGAGCGGCTTTGCGGACGCTTAAGCAAGACGCATGACTGATCAAAACAATTCAAGCAATTCCAAATTCAACAGCTATATGTACACCGGTTACAGGTTTGGACTTGGGCTCAGAGAAGCAGTGTCACAAAAAGGGCTGTGCCAAATCTCTGTGGGATGAAACAAAGCAAATCGCGCATTCACTTTACCCCCTTAATTGCGGGACATTTTCACCAGACCTTTGAGTTTATGCTTAACGGCATTGCGTTCTCCTCAGCCTACAAAGCTATTTTTATGTTTGCTCCTTGCAATTTATGGCTGTTGTAATAGTTTTTATACATTGTCAGATTTGTCTGGTTGCTAGCTATGACTGTCTTATCTCGCCCTGAACTCAGTGGTGATGGCTCCCATTCAGGTGCACTTTGTTTAATCGCGCACTGAACATTGTGAACACAATACATGATGGTATGCCATTTGCATGCCCTTTGTGACAAAATTTATATTACCAGGGGCGATTGTACCTTCTGCCTTGTTTAGCCCTTCAGAACGTTTTCCATTACAATACAAACAATGAACGTTTTAAAATATTTAGCTTATTCAAGAATGCACTATTTTCGGTGAGAATCATTTTTCTACATTCTCAATAAACTCGTCATACCGAACACAGAAACTCGTAAGATTCGGAATGAAAGCTGCGTAGCGCAACCTGCGTCATTATGAAACGAAAGTATGTCACTGCAGTAATGGCATGGCAATGCCATACCCAGTTTGATAGCACACCCGCAACTTTTCGTTTCCCACTTTTGGCGGTGCTCTTACCCACTTTTGCCCATAACTGTAACTGTGAGCAAACTCTTCACCTGGCTTTGGCCGCTTCTGGGACACGTTCGTTATAAACTGCTAAGCTTTTATCCGGATGTAAGCATTCCGTTGGCCTTCATTCTATGCTCCTCACAAAGTCGGTGATTTCATTCGCGTTTCGCCCCGCGCTTAGCACGAATTCCTTCCCTCAAGAAGCTTTTAAACCCAAACATAACCTAAAAAGTGACGCCAGTGTGTCCACTGTCTCCCAAGCAAAGCCATTCAGTGGATCTTTCTTCTACCAATTCGCGTGGTCATGAATAAAAGAGTCTCTGGATTAGCGTCAGTAGGCCTCTACGTGTAATTGGTTATAGTTACATAGAATCGAAATGGATCCGGCGACCAAATAAATACCCATCGATTGCCAGTCTCTGTGAAAACATTTTTTGTCGGTTCATTTTGCTTATACTTTGTTCCAGGTTCTAATTTATACAAAACCGAAACAAAAAGAAGCAGTTTTGCATTGATATTCATCCTATTCCAGGTATCTAATAAGCTCTCAATAAAGTATGGCACCTGCGTTTAGCGCAGTGAGGTATAGTTCAAGATAAACAACACTTGTCACTGGAGGCCTTTTAAACTAACCCTCGCCAGCAGTGCACAGTGGCGGAAGACAGGCGTTTGATGTCATTACAAAAATCACAGGTTTTTGTGCACCATAAGAGAAAAGCAACGAGTGGCTTCACATCCTACCTGTTCCCATCCAAATGTCCTCTAGGCAGGTCATATGTTACCAGCGCAATAAGACCCTTACTTCATCTGCATCCAATACCTCTGATGAAGCATGCAGCCAATGTATGCTCTAGGTTGGTATTTTAACGTTTTCAATCATTTCAGCCTTGCCAGCCCAAATGGAGTGCATCGCGCTCAGGCATTTTCTTCATAGATGTCATCCAGACATGCCGGTGTAATCCATCATAAAGATGGAATCTTCATTTCTAGCCAAACGCTTTCAACTCTTCACTTAGCGAGGGCAGACATTTGACTGTTATAAAATGGTACAGCTGGATTTAAGAGCCGTACATAGCAATTTTCGGAGCGAGTGTTTGGGAGCATTGAGCAAGAAATCGGTATTTATTGCATATTTTCGTGTATCGTCTGAGTGTGTAAAGACGAACGTCATTTCAAAAGTAAACATCAAGCAGAATCATGTGATGCATACGCATTAGGAGCTGAGGTATGCATTAAGGCATTATGCATTGACCCTCTTCAAATGGGCCCGGTGCAATTACCCACCGATGCGCTCAAGTTGAGATTTTAGTCTTCAGCCGTCTCACAGCAGCTAGCTGCCTATTTCAAGGACTCTGTTGGCACTCAGGACCATGTTGATAAGCTTAATCGTGTCCACGCACGAAAGGCACAAACTTTCTGAATTGTGCGCTTTTGGAGCAACCCAAGTATATTGGGCCCATAATGAATGGGATGCAAGCGCACTCTCGCCTTATACAGAAAAGGCCATTTGACTTAGCCACCTTGCCACTGAGAAGCCGCGGCGACTTTACTGGTACTAAGCGTTTTAACGGACATTTCGGCTTGTGCATATGTGAAGCGCCTCATCAGAAATGCCAATAACATCTTTCCTCAGGTTTGCAGTTAATTTTGCCTCAATAACCTGACGGTAGATGCTCCTCTGCCATTATCCGACGATGACCCCCATCCCGGTGTATGTGACTGCTTGGTGCAATGTGTACTGGGTATTTGTGCAAGATCCTGGGGTAGGGATCATCCATCCGACAGACAAACAAACGACAGTTCGCCGAGGATCTCCTGCCGAAAACGTCTGTAGTGTTTTGCATCTTTCTTCTTCCATTATACCAGTCCGTATTTTGCCAGTTGCATAAACGTTTTATGTTTGAATACGAAAAACTATAAAGACGCGCGGTTGTACGAATTCACGCAATACAGATATGGTCATATGCTGCTTATTAGTGCTTAGATGTTGATGGCCATAACATTATTCAGAAAGTAACAACTACATTTCTCAATACGGTATATGGTAGTTCCAGTTGCTAGTTGCACCATGGTTTAATAAATACAATTCAAGAAAGGAATGAGCCAGAAAGAGAATTATCGATTGGGGACTACTTAGCGAGAGCTTTTGGGTAAATCTCTGAACGCGTGGCGTGTCTTCGCTGACTATAGCTGCTGCACGTGTCCCGTAGTTGTCCGTGATAGCTTATTGACCTCAGTTGACTTTCCGTCTTGTGCGCGTATGTTTTTGGACCAAGTTGCGTTCTTATGTATTGTGGGCTTTGTAAAGATGGTGGTGTCCACTCGTGTTTGATAGTTGTACTGACGTGAATACAACTTGACCTGATGTGGTTGAAATTCGTAAGCCCGGCGCGTGACGCAGGTAGTAGCCGCGTTCACAAAAGTGGATGGGAAATTACAGTGTACCCGTTATCAGCCAAGGTTGCGAGCTGGACAGGGTTTCGTCACGTGCTTTGTGCGTTTGAGAAACAAAGGAATCGCGTGATCTAGTGAGCGCAGCTGCACTAAAAAATTAAGCAAATGGCGTCAAGAGGACAGGACAGTTAAGGTGGAATTATCCATATCCTGTTTATTTGCAGTAGGTTTCTTCATTATAAGGCGCAGTGCACATCATGTTTTCATCTCTGACTTTGAATATTTTCCCAATAGTTTGTCGTTAGACGTATACAAAATGAGCTGCTAAGAATATCGCCTACCATCAGTCGCAACCTGTTTGCTT